GGGTTCGCGTCCCTTCCCGTTCCTCTGCGCAGGACTAGCGCAGTGCCTGAGGGAGTGGGCTCTGTCGCTGTTCGGAGTGCGGGTGTGGAATCCCGCCGCCGCTGGAGGCGTGCGGGAAGCCGAGCTGCTCGCACCCCTGACAGGACATTGCGAGGAATAGTACGCTGGGGCTTGCAGAGAGGTTTGCAGTCCTCTTCTTGGAAAAAAAAGTAATAATGTATATATATACAGATACATACAAACACACGGCTTTTAAAAGTGTGCCTTCAATAGATCCCAAAAGCAGTCTGCCGGCTAAGGGGAGGAGGGCCGGTACCCCCTTGGCACCCCACAGCCTGAGGGCCCTAGCTTGGGATTTTCCGACACTGGCTGGACACCATCTCTGGATACTGCTGGAGTTGGTTATCGTAGCTGCTACCCAATTTCCACTCTTTGCCCCCCCTAAAGTGCCTTTCATGAGGTGCTGGGCTAAGACCCCACTCACCTGGCATGCAAAACTGCTCTTTACCTGCAGCTGCTGGCAGCCTGGTGAGTCATGGGGCCCGGCCTGGAGGAGGAAGAAGCAGCAGCAAGCAGGTACACCTGTGCTCTGGGTGAACAGCAGCTTGTCGCTTTGGCCTTCCATACTTTTTTTGACCCTTTAGGAGCCGTGCAAGGTTGGAAGGGATTCCTCTGTGGATAAGCAGATACGTAAAGGCTTAACACACGAATCAGTTTTGTTAGTTGTTATTATTATGGGAAGTGATATTTACCATCTAAGGTAAATGTTTAGTTTTGTGCGAATGGAGCTGCCCACCCCAAGCTCTCCCCAGAAGGCAGAGTGCCGGCAGTGGGGCTGATGGCAGCAGCTGGGTTGAAAGGGGCACCTGGCTGCAGTCAGGTAACTGGAGAGGCGTGGGGATGTTAATATTGACCTTTTCTTTGTATGTGTTTTTCATTTGTAAATTCCTCGGTCCTGTTCAACAGGACAAACTTCTGTTCTATTGTACTGTAAAGCAGGAAATGTCAAAGTCATTGGTGGGAATATCAGGTTTGTCTTTGTAGGTTTCTGTTCTAGCAGACTATGTAAACTGCGCTCTGCGGCTATACTAGTTGTTATTTCTTTTCAACATACTGCCTTTGGCATGTCCCTGACTCTTAAAGTCATAAGGAACTTTTCATAACAATTGAATTGGGGGGTTGTGGGGTGTGTGTAGGTATTTGGGGAGACGGCTTCTGTTTCTTCCTCAAACTACATGTATCTCTGGCCTTTTCCTCTGCAGATTCTCTGGGTTTTTCTATGTTCTTTAGCTTTTCTGTTGATTTTTATATGGTATGATGAGCAAGGATCAATTTAATCTTACTGGTACATCTGAAGTAAAAATCACTCTTTACTACAGTGTTGCTCAGATCTATCTATGGATTGGAAGAAGGTATCAACGTTCTTTAATATCCATTTTTAAAGGAGCACTGTCAAAGTGTTTCTTACAGTGCTTTTAAAAATGCTTTTCATACTGCTTATAATAACGCCTTATGCAAAATCAGTTCTGTGATGTGTTTATATATTGAATTTGCTTTCATTCAATGCATACACAAATTGATTTGCTATGGTAAAGATGCTTGAATGTGTGCTTGCTGATTTAATTAAGAAAAAAGCCCTTTTATCAGGTATCCTACGAAGCTAGCATAAAGAACCAGGGGTCTGCATAATTTCCTATGTGTTTTTTATCAATAAAATTTACGTATGTACTGAGTTTGAAGTTTGGCAGTATTTTGAAACTTAGCTTGTCAGAATCAAGGAAAATAAGTTACATGTGCAGTGTGCATTTATAAATGACAAGTAAATTCTGTCAGGCTGTGTTTTGAGCTCTTTCAGTCTGTGCAATTGATGGCATTATCCAGTCTGTAGTCTTTAGCAGAGAAGTTAGAGGAATAGGCATAAACTAAGTTACTCCCTATAGAAAGTTTAATGAAGACTTGCCTGAAATCTGTAAGCTTTATATTTTTATCCTGCCTGTTACCTTCCTCTTGCTCTTCTTCTCACAGAAGTCTTGATCACCTGCTAATGTGCTTTAGCTTTCAGAATTGAAAAGTAAAAGCTAAAGTGAGGACAGGGCAGTTGCCTTTTTTTTTTTCCCCTCAACACAAGAAGTTCTAAAACAATTTTTCTTTTCTTCCTGCTCCTCTCTCTGTGAAGAGTGCCTATATGTGCCAGATCTTTTTCCATGTTTTTGTTACTCTTGAGTTTGTAATTTGTTTACAGTTGAATAAACCAATTTGGTAAATAAAGTATTTGTAAAAATAAATAATGCACAGTCCTACTGACAATATTTAGAGATGGTGTAGTTACAGATTATGCTGTAGCTGATTATGTAGAAACTTTCTTGCATGTACAAAATAGTGTGTTCAGGTAAGTGCTGTAGAACTGAGCAGAGGGTTGTAGAATGTCAGCTGTTACTGAATTTGGCTTTTAGTGCAACTAGGCCATACACAATGAGATGGAAGAAATATAGGAAATTTCAAGCGACTGTCTTTCGCCTTATGTTTTATTGTTTGATTTTTTTTAAATTTTTTTTAAGTGATCAAACATCTTTAGGTTTTATCAGGATTCTTAATATTGCAATTAAATACCAAGGGGCCTGTAATTTAGATCTGTGGTAGTATTTTACTAGAATCTTTCTAAAACAGGAGACAGTGTGGTGATGCTTTCTGGCTTTTTTTTTTTTTAGATGTTAAAAGTGTTAATGAAGAAAGAATCACCTTAGACTTCTTTATTACTAGGTGAAGTTAGAGAGGAAAGAAAATGCGAGTTTGACAGAGGGAAAACCACAGGGTATCAGTGTGAGCTTGCATTGGGGTTTTTCGTTGTTGTTCTTGGAGTGTTTTTCTTTTAAGGAACCTAACTGTTGTAAGGGAATTTTTCATTACAGAACCTAAACTATTATTATTTATTAAGGTAATATTTGTATGTATGACTCATGTTCAAGCTCAGCATTTGTGTATGCCTGTAAAGATCTTGTGCAGAAGACAGGGCCTTTCAGTACTAAAAGAAGACCTTGAAGAGAGTGAAACAAGGCTTCTGGTAGTTTTTAAAATAAAAATATGCAGAGAAAATTAGCTGAAAACTACTGAGGGATGAGATGAAGAGGCCACCAGCCCTAGCCAAAGAACAGTGGTGTCCAGTGATTCCTCCCCACCATAGGTCTACTCTGCCATCATTAAAAAGAAGAATTGTGTCCATTCTGCTGAGAAGCCTTTAGCTTGCTTTGATACTGCTTTGATATTTAGCTGGTTTTATAGGTTCTTGGGACATGTTCATTTATAATGGCAGTCCGCAGGAAGTTAGGGAGCTTCACCTTCGTTGGAAGGACATTATGAAAACGGTGACTATCTTTCAACCTCTTCAAAACATTATTATGAGTTTAAATATGTCTCCTTTTGGGTTTTGTCAGTGGATTATCCTATAGCAGCAGCATATCTCTGTAGGTTGTAACACAAATGTCATGCTTTTAGGAACTGACTTGAGGAAAAAAAGTAAATCCCTGTGTAAAAATGCAAAGTTAGGTATAAATAATATAACATACTCTTACTTTGTGCTCTGTTTTCTCAGTTTTTAAAAGATTTGACCTGCTGTTGTAATTTTCAGATCTTAGACCTCTTGATTTTAGTTGGAGGCTGTAGGAGAAATTTTTTGAGTACTCAAATGCTCATGAAATTTTCTGTTAACTCAGAGAATGCATTTTACAGAGCGGCTAGAAGGTGTCTCTGTAGAGAAAAACCTTGAAAACAGAAAAGTGTTGTCACTGCTGGAATTTTTTTTTTTTCCTGTTAGTAATGGCTTGCCTTTGCTTTAAAAAAAAAAGCTGTAAAACAATACACTTTTATGAAAATTAGATCTTGGTGGTTTTCTTTAGTTGTCAAGTTGGTCTGGTTTGTTTCCAGGCATGCTGATATTATACAAAGGTCTTAATTCTGCTAGTCTTTTAATATGGTTCTCCTGGTTTGCTATTTTTGCAATTTCCTTCATGTGTGTATTTTTCCCATGTGTTACAGAAGTAGAAGAAATAATGTGGACAGCAAACAGCCATTTTTAATACTTTGATGAAAATGCCTGTGCCTTTCATATGCTGAAACCTGCCAATGAAAATAGATCCAAAAGCAGAAAGCCTGATGCAGCAGACCTACTGCTAGAAACTAAGAGCATAGCAAATACAATTGTTCTGCTCACATATGTAGTATTTCCAAGTATTCTGCAAAATAATAGGTTATGGCACCAAATTGTAAGGCTGTTGGATGTGAGTGCATTTCCAGTTAAAGCATGGTTGACAAAGGTTGGATGCAGCAAAAAAAAGAATAAATCTATGACCCTTTATTTTGTTGTACACATCCTATATGGAAAGCTTCCACTTCAAGTTGCGTAATTCTGGACAGCCACTTCCATAGGACTTCAGTTTTAGCTCTGGTTGGCACGAAAATTAAATTGTGATACTGTCCTACTCAGTAAAGGATTCTTTGTAGCTCTATTTATAGTGATGAGTTTATTTTCTGCTCCCTTTTTTTTTTTTTTTTCATTTCCGTGGACTGCTTATGCACCTTCATTTAAAAAATGCAATGAAAATTATTTATGTATTCCATCCAACATTAGGAGAAAGAAGTTAAACCCAGGACATCTCTCTTTCCACATCACTGACCTAAAGGATAAGCCTTTTTGGTAGGGAAACGCTAGTTGTCTTCTGTGCAGCAATACAGCTCAAACGGACTGGGTGCCGGGTTTTCCTGTACAGAGGAGTTGATACCTCACTCCCTGAAGACATGGTTGAGTGCAGCCAACTATGCAGGACAGAGCATCCATGTTTTCACTTTCCTGAACAAGAGTTTTAATCATTTAGCTATTACATAAAATGCAAATGGGAACATTCTGCTTCTGCCACTGCTTTGAATTCTTCAGTCTCTGAGCGCTGAACATGGTGCTGTCAGTGTGTTTTGGGGATCATGTCAAAGTTGGCTAATGTATCAGTCCCCTTACGGGGCCCTGGTAGGGGAATATGCAGTTGTGGCATCTGAATGTGTGGGGCCTGGGATAGGTAGCAAGTTTGGCAGCAGTTCTGCAAGTGTGCAGCAGTAGACTTCTAAGTTAGGAAGTAGTCTACCTGGTAAATACATATCACTCAGATTTTTTTAATCTATAGGGACAGTGAGTGGCACAGAAAGTTTCACACTGGTGGTGGGAGGATAGGGAAGAACCCAGTCTGCCCCTCAACTTCTGGCATGGGTTTGCTGGAACGGGAATTAAAAAAGCAACTTTGTGTACTTATGAACACAGTTCATATGCTTTACAGTTATTGAGATAAAATATATATAGAGAGATACATAATAAATTCATAACCTATTCTCTTGACCCCTACCATCAATACCACTATTATTTTCCAGGCTTGACATACTTGGACTAGGTGCTCATAGCTATTAGCTAATAGCATAGCTATTATGGTTGATTCCAGACTTGTCTCTTCAGTTAAATAAGCCTGTGTTTGTTCTTTTTTTGGAAAGTTTTATTCTTAATGTTTAATTTGTTCTGTATTTCAAAGGTTCTGAAGAAAAAACACTTGAAAGATGTGCATCTCCAACAAGTGTCTGTAAGAAGGTTCACATCGTTCAATCTCTTTGCAATAGAAGACCAGAATACTGAAGAGGAAACTGGGACCTGGGTTCAGTATAAAAGCATCTTTTATCCTGAGTATAGTGTGTCCTTAAGGTAACCATCATTTAAGTTTTAAGTACTTCCTAAGATCTTGTACAGGCCTCAAATATAAAGTTATTCTTCCAGTTAGTCATTCTTCCAGTGTTTTGTATAACTAGGGCATGGTTTACAAATAAACTGTTAGATGTTATTTTTAGTTGTTTGTTACAGTAAACAGTTTGTCTGTTTTTTTTTCTGGTACATTTCATTGAAGTGGCAGCACTTGAATGAAAATATCGATGACTGTACCTTTAACAAAATGCAAATATTAACATTTATTTTATATTTCTAATAGCTTTCTGTTTTGACATTTTTCACATATAAATAGGATGTAAAAAAACTGAACAGCTTTACTTGTAATCTTAATAAAATTTTAATGACATGATGTTATTCATTAGTTCTAAAAGCTTTTTGGTAGTGATTTATATTTTATTCAGTTTTCTTCCTAATAGTTCTTGTAAAACTCAATGATAATTTGGAAGTCAATTTGCAAAACAAAAGAAAAAATTTCCTCTTCTTACAGAAATGGTTTATGGCTAATGAAGAAATATGTTTTATATTAGAGCAGGTAAAACATGAAGATATCTGCATTAAAAAAAAAAAGCACACAAAACTAAAAATGCCCCGAACTGCCCTTCAAAAAAACATCTGAAGGAATGTTAATGAACTCTCAGTAGCTTTAGCAAAACAGAAAAACGTATAGCTCCCATTCATTACTATTTGGGTTTTTGTTTGGTTTGGTTTTTTTCCTTTCCTCCTGCTTTGGTTTCCTTTTCCTTGTTCAGTTTTGTACATATCTATGACTTGGTTTTGTCTCAACAGGTATCATTGCAACAGTAACTTAAACATCCCTGAATCAATGCTTGTCTTGCAGCCCCTAATTAGCCCTGCTGAGGGTGTAAATCTTGCATTCTGTGCACAGCAGAGGATATTCTGGAGAGCCTGAATCATCAAAATTGTAAAGTGCATTTTTACTTAACTGTGACCTTTAATTTAAAGTCAATCTTAGAAACTAAGATCTAACACAAACAAGTGACCACCATTAAGTGACATTTTTGCAAGATTATAAAACAAAACAACAAGGAAAACCCAAACCAAAACAAAAAGCCACAAACCAGCCAACCAAAACCCCAACCCCACAACACTATATGCAGGTTGCCTTAAATTTGCAGCTGGGTGAAAAGTCAAATACAAAATTGTTTAGAGCTTTATAAAGCCTTAATTTTCCATTTTCTAAGCTTATACTTATTGATGCTGGAAGACTTCAGAAGAAAAGTTTTCCATTTGAAAATACTGCCTATTTATAATACAAGTTGGAACAGCGTTTTTTTCTGTGTATGGACTTTTCCAGTGAGCTGTGAGGGTATGCTATAGATTCATCCAGATGCTCATAGTCTACCTAATCTCTTCGTGCAGTGTGTCTGTTTCCTGGTTTTAGATCTTCAGAGGCGTGCTGTTGTCATGGGTTTCAGCTGGGATAGAATTAATTTTCACAAGAAGCTGGGAGGAGTCACAGCCAGGACAGCTGACCCAAACTAGCCAAAGAGATATCCCGTACCATATGATGTCATGTTTATTATATAAGGGGGGCTGGCCAGGGAGGAGGGGTCGCTGCTCAGAGACAGGCTGGGCATTGGGCTCTGGGCGGTGAGCAAATTGCACTGTGTATCACTTGCTTTGTATATTCTTTTATAAGTATTGTTATTTTCTTCTCCCTCTGCTGTCATTAAACTGTCCTTATCCTAACCCCTGAGTTTTACCTTTTTCTTCCGATTGTCCTCTCCATCCCACCAAGATGGGGGGGAGGAGTGAGCAAGCAGCCACATAGTGCTTAGCTGCTGGCTGGGGCTAAACCATGACAGTCCTTTTTGGTACCCAACATGGGGCTTGAAGGGCTGAGATAATGACAGATCTGACCAGAGTGTGTTAAAACAAATTTGTTATACACATTTATTATTTTAGTTAAATAGTCGCTGATCACAACAGTGTTATGTTTGTTCACGTGCTTGTGTTATGTAAATCCTTACTTGCCTTACAGTTTTTAAGAATTTAGAATACCCTTGGGATGTTCAAGCCAGCATGTTCCTATTGCTATGTCTCCTGAATACATTCTAGGTCTTGTTTAGGGTTACAAAAAATTGTTTTATGAATTCCACCCAGAGATCTGCCGCAAGGCTGCATAGTCATGGGTGGCATGGCATGTGGGAGAATATGGGCAGGTACCTAGAGAACTTCTCACCTCCAGTGGTTTGGAACTTCACTGCTAAATACAGGACCCTGATAAAGTGATAGAATATTTGAAAGGAAAATGCCGTGGCTATTCCAAAGAGGCACAATTTACCGTGCTGCACTGGGTCCTGGCCAGTATCTGTCAAGCACTGCTCGATATTAGGCAGCACCCTCAGGGGGAGGAGAGGGAAATCAGACCAACAGGCACTGCAGCTACTCAAACCCTGGTGGACAGGCACTACAGGTGAACAAAAAAACAACCTGTGCTGGTATCAGTCACCCCTATACACAAGAAGAAATACACAAAAAAAAATCGGTTCGCTTAGTAAGGATGACAATGAACCAGGACCATCATGAGAACAGGAGGAAAAGGCAGAACCAGAGGTAATCACCCGATCCCTATCCCTGAGTGAGCTGCGAGATATGTGAAAAGATTTCAGCCACCATCCAGGCCAGCACATTGTTACCTGTCTACTCCAATGCTGGGTAACGGGGCCAGTAGTCTGGAATTACAGGGTAGGGAAGCCAGGCAGTTGGGATCCCTGTTCAGGGAAGGGGACACTGACAAGGCAATTGGGGAAAAAAAGTCACAAGCCCGCAGCCTCTGGAGGTGACTTCTGTCAGGCATGAGAGAAGGGTATTCCTTCAGTGAAGATGATTATGTTATCCAGGCAAGCGGACCATCATGGAGAGAGGTATCCAGTACCTAAGGGAATTAGCCATGCAGGAGATGATTTATTGAGTCAGACAACATGCAGTTGCCTACAGATCCTGATGAAGTCCAATGCACATGACCCGTGTGAAGGAAGTTTGTACAGAGCACACCATCGTTGTATGCCAACTCACTGGCAGTAATGGACTGGAAAGACAAAGGGGCACTGATGGTGGATGAAGTGGCTGGCTGGCTCCAGCAATACGAAGAAAGTCTCTCTTCTTCCCTTGTCTTGGCTGTGGAGAAACTGTCCTGGAAGGTCCAGCAACTCAAAGAGAATATATCCTATTCCCCACCTGTACGGACGAGTATCTCAGCTATTAGGAGTAAGTGTTCCTCTGCTCAAGAGAGAGGATATAGAGGGTACCCTGTGGTTTTACCTACGTGACCGTGGAGAGGACATGAGAAAGTGGGATGGAAAAACCTACCTTGACCCCAGAGGCATGAGTATGTGAGTTGCAAGGAAAAACAATCACAAAAGGGGATTCTTCCAGGAAAAATGCCGCTCCAATTTCCAGTGGGAAGTCCCCCAAATCAAGTGGAAGGCCTACTCGTACTTATGATCCTCTCGAAGGGACTTCTAAGTCATTTTTACAAGAAGTGAGTAATGAATATGATGAGCAGGATTAGAGGGTCCCTGCGTCCAGCCAAGTGGAGGAAAGGGACAACTGGGTTTACTGGACTGTGTGGATCTGATGGCCTGGCACATTGGATCCACGAGAGTATAGGGCTCTAGTGGACACCAGTGCACAGTGTACCCTAATGCCATCAAGGTGTAAAGGGGCAGAACCCATCTGTATTTCTGGAGTGACAGGAGGTTCCCAACAGCTAACTGTACTGGAGGCTCAAGCGCCCCACTGTGACTGGCCCAGAGGCTCCGTGCATCCTTGGCGCAGACTGCCTCAGGATAGGATATTTTGAGGACCCAAAAGGGTACTGGTGGGCTTTTGGCATAGCTGCCTTGGAGACAGAGGAAATTAAACAGTTGTCTACTTTGCCCAGTCTCTCGGAGGACCCTTCTGTTGTGGGGTTGCTGAGGGTCTAAGAACAACAAGTGCCAATCGCTACCACAATGGTGCACCGGTGGCAATATCACACCAACTGAGACTCCCTGGTTCCCATCCATAAGCTGATTCATCAGCTGGAGAGCCAAGGAGTGATCAGCAGAACTCACTCACCCTTTAACAGTCCCATATGGCCAATGTGAAAGTCTAATGGAGTGTGGAGACTGACAGTAGACTATGGTGGCCTGAATGAAGTCATACTGCCGATGAGTGCTGCCATGCCGGACGTGCTGGAACTTCAATATGAACTGGAGTCAAAGGCAGCCAAGTGGTATACCGCAACTGATATTGCTAATGCATTTTTTTCAATCCCTTTGGCAGCAGAGTGCAGGCCACAGTTTACTTTCACTTGGAGGGGCATCCAGTACACCTGGAATCGACTGCCCCAGGGGTGGAAACACAGCCCCACCATTTGCCATGGACTGATTCAGACTGCACTGGAACAGGGTGAAGCTCTGGAGCAACTGCAGTACCTTGACAACATCATTGTGTGGGGCAGCGCAGCGGAAGAAGTTTTTGAGAAAGGGAAGAAAATAGTCCAAATCCTTCTGAAAGCCTGTTTTGCCATAGAATGAAGTAAGACCAAGGGACCTGCACAGGACATCCAATTTTTAGGAACAAAATAGCAAGATGGACGTCATCAGATCCCAGCAGATGTGATCAACAAAACAGCAGCTATGTCTCCACTGACTAGCAAAACGGAAACACGAGCTTTCTTAGGCATTGTGGGTTTTTGGAGGATGCATATTCCAAATTACAGTCTAATTGTAAACCCTTTCTCTCAGGTGGCCTGGAAGAAGAACAGTTTCAAATGGGGCCCTGAGCAACAGCAAGCCTTTGAACAAATTAAACAGGAAATTGTCAATGGAGTAGCCCTTGGGCTAGTCCAGCCAGGACCAGGTGTAAAAAAAAGTGTTCTGCACCGCAGCAGGGGAGAATGGCCCTACCTGGAGTCTCTGGCAGAAAGCACCAGGGGAGACTCGAGGTCAGACCCTGGGGTTTTGGAGTTG